CGTCGCTTTCCGTTCATTCAACTTAATCACCTCCTGCCTGTACAGCGTGTGTGCTCTTTCACGTACAAATTAACAACAAAAACATCTTTTTCTTTTATTATTAAATTAAATTAAACAAATTTCCACAACTTTCTCATTTCTTCTTATTGTTCCTCTTATCATTGCAGCTGTACTCCCCCTCTTCCCCTCCCTCCCAGCCGCGCATCGGAGGACGGCAATTTATTATTAGAATTGTTTATTATTGAAAATAAAAAACAAATAAGAAGAATTATCTCCAGCAAAATATTCAATTAAAATTCATCTTCTTCTTTTTTAACCAATCGAAGCGCCTCTTTTTCCTCCCTCTTTCCCGCTAATACATTCACTTGTGCACAGATGATATATTGAATTCCTGTTTATATATTCAAAAGAAATAAACTTTAATATGATGATGTTCAATATTTATATTCAGTAACTGTATATAGCTCTCGGGGAATATATATATATATATATATATATATATGTACATAATATATATGCATTTATGTATATAATATATATATTATACATATATATATATTATATACGTATATATATATTATATTATACATGCGTGTTGCTTTTCTACCTCCATTTATATGAGCGCGGCGTCCTTTGTGAGTATATACACTGTCTATACACCGCATGCGTCTCTAACAAAATAATTAAAACGAAATTTTTCTGAAGAGTTTTCGTTTGATGGATTGCCGGGTGTATGAGGGAAACTCTTTGCAGTCAAAGCCGCTCCACCCCAGGCATCCAAATAGCAGCGCCTAAACCCTAAACCCTAAACCCTAAACCCTCGAAGTAATAAGCGGAGGGGGGTGTGTCGTGCAGGCACAGAGGGAGTGGGTACCCCAGCAGCCACAGGCAGGCCTACTTATCGATGCTGCTGTTGCTGCTGCTGCTGCTGCCGCCGCTGTTTGTGTTGTTGCTGCTGTTTCTGCTGCTGCTGCTACTTGCTGTTGCTCTCAGGGAGCTTCAACACCACCATCACCACCACCACCACCACCACCAACAGCAGCAGCAGCAGCAGCAGCAGGAAGAATTGTTTAAATTAGTCCTTCCATATAAGTATATTAGGGTCTCTCTTGCAGAAAGCCCTGACAGCCAAGGCTAAGTTGTCTGTATCTGCAAACATGCGGCCTCTACAGCCAACAAGCAGCTTTGTAGTGTCTTGATACTGCAGTTTAACTTCTTCTTTTTTATCTCCTCCTTCAGTAGCATCTCCTGCTGCTGCTGCTGCTGCTGCTGCTGCTGCTTCCTCTTTCTGACGAATAGCTAGGGGTTTCTGCTGCGCATACACCTCAGCTTTAAGGTCTTGCACTGTTGCGGTGTCACGCAAATATATTTTTTGTCCATTTACCCATTTATTGCCCAACCATTTATGTGATAAGTCTGGATATAAAGAAGGGTCTGCAATAAACACCTGATAGCTGCAGACAGCAGAGAAGACATAATATAAATAGTTAAAATATAGTAATGTGCAGCAGATAGAACAAAAGTAATACAGATACAACACGCTAACACAACAAATCAACATTCCAAACCCTAAACCCTAAACCCTAAACCCTAAATAGACAACAGATACAAAGAAACAGCAGAAATGCTATAAACAAAAACAAATAAAACCAGCCAGAAAAAAATAACATACAAAGAGGCAGACTGATGCTGCATGCAATCAAACAACTGCTGCAGTTCCTGCTGCGGGTCTCTCCCCCGCATGCAGCAGCACACAACTGCAGCAGCAACAGCAGCAGCAGCAACAGCAGCTACAGCAGCAGCAGCAACAGCAGCAGGAGCTGCAGCAGCAACAGCAACAGCAACGGCAACGTCAGCAGCAGCAGCAAGGATAAGAAGAAGACGTACCCTAGCTTTGTGTCTGCCCGGTAGCGGATAGAGAAGACAGCAGCAGGGAAGGCAAAGCACATAACAAATTTTGTGCTGACTTGTGAATTATAAAAACTGTCGTAGAGGCGTCCTAAGCGATGATATAAATATTGCAGTGCTGGTCTTAGATAGCGGCGGCTGCTGCTGCAAGATGAAGCGGAAGCCATCTTCATATAAATAGAAGACAGACTTTACAAAGAATAATATATATTTTATTTCCTATATATATATATATATATATATGAGTGTGTCTATGTTTATTAGTCCTTGGTGTATGTAGAAGAAAAGAAGAGAAACTCCCCACAGACACAACAAGAAGAAGACTGTTTACTCGGAACTGCAGCAACAGTACGTTTAAAGTGCATGCAGTGTATGCAACGCTGTTGTTGCTGCTTTAAAACAAAGGGAATAAACAAAGGGCTTCTGCTGGTGTTGCTGCTGCTGTTGCTGCTGCTGCTGGCTATGCGTTCAGTCGCCTGTCTGCTGCTTGCTGTTGAGGAGGTCTTAACACTCAGTGGCGAAGCTTTTAAGAAACCCGTGTGGAGGCTTGAATGGGGCCCTGCTGCTGCTGCTGCTGTTGCTGCTGCCGCTGCAACAAAACAGCAGCAGCAAAATAAATGTACACCCGGTTGCCGGAGGATTGGAAGGCGTTTTCCTTCTTGTCTCTGAAGAATATTAATTTAAAAATTATATAATCCAACAAATCAAATAAACTGTAGATTTGCTGTTTCCTCAGACTGTCTGTGTGCAGCTTCCTTGAGGTGTATGTACACCTGAAGTCATCAGGGCTGTAGTAGTCGGCTTACGCCTACAAGAATATATATTTTCATCTAAATTTGTTTATTTAGAACAAATTATTGCTAGTTTTTATGCTTTTTACCCTCGAAATTGTATATTATTAGCGCTAAACTCTCTTTTTTCCTCCGTTTTCCCTCGAGTTTCGCCCGTTTACCTGGGGCTTCAGCAGAAACATCTGCGAGAGAAACCTCAGCGATCTGCATTTAAATAGGGTCTTTATCGCCTTCTTTTCTTTTTCATTCTCATTAAAACACTCATTTACACGAGAAACCCTAAACCCTAAACCCTAAACCCTAAACAAACACTCACAGGAGAGCTGCAGACAGTTTTCATATCGCTACTCAGGCGCAGCTCCTCTTCGTACTCTCCCTGGAGCCCCACCAGACAGACTGCAGCAGCAACAATAGCAGCAGCAGCAGCAGCAACAACAACAACAGCAACAGCAGCAGCAGCAACAGCAGCTGCAACAGCAGCAGCAACAACAGCAGCAATAGCAGCAGCGAGTCACTAAATATACCTGTTCAGTTTAACTCGTGCAGCAATTAGATATACTCTCCGTACTGCGCCTTCTCTTCTCTGCTGTACGTACAGCTTACAGCAACACGTACGCAAAGCTTGAAGCCTTTCTACAATTTCTTTTTCTCTCTAAAGCATCCCCTTCATTCTCGGCCTCAAGGCACTAGCTGCTACTGCAGCAGCAGCAGCACGACAGCAGCAGCAGCTGCTGCTGCAGCAGCTGCATCGGGAGGGCAACAGCCATCAGCCGGCCTCGCCTATATGTTTTTCTTCTGCTATTTTACTCAGTTTGCATGCATAATCTGGAGTGTATAGGGAGCTTCCTGTGTTTCCCCCCGGAAGGCTTATTCTGTCTTTCAAACCCTAAACCCTAAACTCTAAACCCTAAACCCTAAATAGAAGACCGCCTAATGGCTGCTGCTGCTGCTGCTGACGCTGATGCTGCTGGGGGCTACGACCATCTCCTCAAGCTGCTGCTGATTGGAGACAGCGGTGTAGGGAAGAGTTCTTTGCTGCTTCGCTTCACAGAAGACAAATACGATGAACAGCAACTCTCTACTATCGGTGCGTTGCAGCAGCAGCAGCAGCAGCAACAGCAACAGCAACAGCAGCAGCAGCAGCAGCAGCAACAGCAGCAGCAACAGCACTGACAGCAGCAGCAACTAAATCCACAATATCGTTTCAGCTATTTCTGTCTACCCATCCCCAAAGAGAGAATAGCTGTATATGCATGCATGCACGCATTCTGAATACATACACTCTGCTGCTGATATATATATATATATATTGTATAATATATTATATACATTTTATATTATATATATGTATGGCAGTGTATGTGTATATGCTTTGTACTGAATTGTATGCATGCATATATACAAATATGTATATGCATATATAAACATAAATCGATATATAAATAAACATCTACATAAATATAAATTCACACATATCTCTATAAATAAATAAACATACAAATAAATAAATAAATATCTATATAAATATAAACAAGTATATAAATAAATAAATATATATATATATATATATATATAGACAGATGTATATGTATATATATAGATACATATATATATATCTTTATTTATTTATTTATTTATATATTTATTTATATATATATATGCAGGAGTAGACTTTCGACTGCGTTACATGCGCGTGGAGGGCGAGCGTTTGAAGTTGGCCATTTGGGACACAGCCGGCCAAGAGCGCTTCAAGACGCTGACTTCGTCGTATTATAGAGGGGCCCAGGGCATTATAGTAGTTTAGTATGTATATATATATTTATATATTTATATTTATTTATGTTTATTTATTTATTTATTTATATTATATGTTTATATTATATACATGTACATCTTTTATACATACTGTATATTATATAATAGTGTATAGTATTATATTATAGTATATATTATATAATAGTATATAATATTATACAATAGTAAATATGATAATATATAATATTATATATATATAATATTAAGTATAAAATATATATATATATATATAATACTACTTTAATAATATATATTTGTTTACTGTTCTTTAAATTTAGTTTTTCTGTCTTTGTTTGCTGCAGCGATGTTGGGTCCGTTGAGTCTTTTTTAAATTGTGTGCAGTGGATGAAGGAAGCAGATAAACACGGCACCCTCTCTAATAGCATTAAAATGCTTGTTGCTAACAAAGTAGATACAGTAAGCAAACCAACACATGCAGCAACAGCAGCTAAAGCAGCAGCAAAAGCAACAGCAGCAGCAGGTGCTGCAGCAGGTGCTGCAGCAGGTGCTGCTGCTGCTGTTGGTGGTGGTGGTGGTTGTGGTGGTGTATTACAAGTACTACTGCAGCAGCAGCTGCTGCTGCTGCTGTTGCTGCTGCTGCAGATGAAGAAGGAGTAGTAATATTAGTAGCAACTGCAACAGCAGCAACAGCAGCAGCAGCAGCGTTTATAATTGCTTCTTATTGCTTATGTTTATTACGTTTTTAATTATTGTATGCTTAGTAACGTTTATTATATTCATTACTGTTTATGCTCTTACTATGGTTTATTATAATATTAGATTTCTCTGTCTCCTTTATTTACGGTTTATAGTTTAAAGGGTTTAGGGTTTGGAGTTTAGAGTTTAGAATTTGTGTTTTATTGTTTATTTCTTAGGGTCTAGGGTTTGTGGTTTGTGGTTTAGAGTTTAGAGTTTAGGGTTTAGGGTTTAGGGTTTAGGGTTTAGGGCTTGTGGTTTAGGGTTTAGGGTTTAGGGCTTGTGGTTTGTGGTTTAGGGTTTAGGGTTTAGTGTTAAGGGTTTAGGGATTGTGGTTTAGGGATTGTGGTTTAGGGATTGTGGTTTAGGGTTTGTGGTTTAGGGTTTAGGGTTTAGGGTTTAGGGTTTGTGTGCGTTAGCCTCGGGTGGTGTCAACGGATGAGGGTCGTCAACTGGCATCTCAGCTGGGCGCTCTTTTCGTAGAGACATCTGCGAAGACTTCATTAAATGTAGAGAAGGCTTTTCTTGAACTCGTTACGCAGGTAGGGGTTTATTAGCTTTCTTTTAATTTATCTGTCTCTATCTCTGTCTCTGTCTCTGTCTCTGTCTCTGTCTCTGTCTCTATCTGTATACGTAGCTAGCTAGCTAGCTAGCTACCTAGCTAGCCATGCAGTTAGTTAGTTAGCTAGCTGTCTGGCTATTTAGATAGCTAGCTACCTATTTAGCTAGCTAGCTAGCTAGCTAGCTAGCTAGCTAGCTAGCTGTTTAGTTAGCTGTTTGTAAGTATGTGATGGCGTTTGCATGGAAGTCGATGTGCTATACGCAATTTACAGCGTAGGAAACCTTCATTTAATGTTTAGGGTTTAGGGTTTAGGGTTTAGGGTTTGTATGTGGATATAGATTCTAATGACGCCCTCTCTGCTGACGAATACGAGACCAATCAGCAGCAGCTCGAGAGTATTATTATCAGACAGCGACGACTCTGCACAAACGCAAAGCCGCTCTTGCTCCTGTTAATGCTGCAGCAGCAGCAGCAGCAGCAGCAGCAGCAGCAATAGCAGCAGCAACAGCAGCAATAGCAGCAGCAACAGCAGCAATAGCAGCAGCAGCAACAGCAGCAGCATTTTGGTGCGTGGAGCGGAATTGCTTCGTGTGGCTGCTTCCAGCAGCTGCAGCTGCAGCAATGAGAGCAGCAGCAGCAGCAGCAATAGCAGCAGCAGCAATAGCAGCAGCAGCAGCAAACGCAGCAGCAAAAACATCTGAAGGAATCACACTGTCTAGATTGGGGGGTAGTTTGCCCGCAGCAGCAACTGCTGCAGTTGCAGTTGCAGTTGCTGCTGCTGCTGCTGCTGCTGCTGCTGCTGCTGCTGCTGCTGCTGCTGCTGCTGCTGCTGCTGCGGCTGCAGGTTAGGGTTTATTGAGTTGCTTCAGTGCTAGCTGCCTCTATTGTGTGTATTTGTTTCCTCTGGCTGCTGCGACAGCAGCAGAACGAAGATAAATAAATAAATTAAATAAATAAATAAAATAAAATAAATAAATAAATAAATAAATAAATAAATAAATACAAGACAAACGAAGAGGGAGGGTAAAGCTATTAACTCAAACAATGCATAAAAATATATCTGACAGGTCAAACAAACAAACGAAAAACAAAAGAGAGATAAACAAATGCATATAAACAAACAAAATAAAACACAGCAGCAATAGTTGAAGCAGCAGCAGCAGCAATAGATGCAGAGGCAGCAGCAATAGATGCAGCAGCAGTAGTAATAGAAGCAGCACAGCAGTAATAGATACAGCACCAGCAGCAGTAGATACAGCAGCAGCAGTAATAAATGCAGCAACATCAGCACCAGCAAAAGATACAGCAGCAGCAGCAGCAGCCGCAGTAGCAATAGATGCAGCAGCAGCAGCAGCAGCAGCAGCAGCAGCAGCAGCAACAGCAGCAGCAGCAGCAGCAGCAGCAGGCGCCTCTTTCCGCTTGTGTCTCTCTGTAGTTTTTATTTTGCTTTTCTTTTGAAGTCTCTCTCTCCTCGCTGCTGGGGCTAGAGATACACCTTATATATATAATATATATATTTATAATATATATATTTATAATATATATATTTATAATATATATATATATATACATATATATACTCAGTAATACGATTACTAAAGTTTATGCTGCAGCCAACGACAGGGGGCTTTGTTATGCTTCTACGCTGCTCTGCAGCAGCAGCTGCATCAGTATAAACAAACAAAATAAAACACAGCAGCAATAGTTGAAGCAGCAGCAGCAGCAATAGATGCAGAGGCAGCAGCAATAGATGCAGCAGCAGTAGTAATAGAAGCAGCACAGCAGTAATAGATACAGCACCAGCAGCAGTAGATACAGCAGCAGCAGTAATAAATGCAGCAACATCAGCACCAGCAAAAGATACAGCAGCAGCAGCAGCAGCCGCAGTAGCAATAGATGCAGCAGCAGCAGCAGCAGCAGCAGCAGCAGCAGCAGCAACAGCAGCAGCAGCAGCAGCAGCAGCAGGCGCCTCTTTCCGCTTGTGTCTCTCTGTAGTTTTTATTTTGCTTTTCTTTTGAAGTCTCTCTCTCCTCGCTGCTGGGGCTAGAGATACACCTTATATATATAATATATATATTTATAATATATATATTTATAATATATATATTTATAATATATATATATATATACATATATATACTCAGTAATACGATTACTAAAGTTTATGCTGCAGCCAACGACAGGGGGCTTTGTTATGCTTCTACGCTGCTCTGCAGCAGCAGCTGCATCAGGTGTTTGCTGCAGCAGCTGCTGCAGCTCGTATGCGATAATCTACTACTCTAGCAGCAGCAGCAGCAGCAGCAGGAGCAGCAGCAGCAGCAACAACAGCAACAACAGCGGCAGCAGCAGCACCAGCTGCTGCTGCTTTGAGTTAAATTAATCATCATGGGTATTTAAGCTCTCTGCTACCGCTCACCTAACTATGCTGCTAATATTATTTGCTGCTGCTGCTGCTGCTGCTGCTGGAGACTGCGCTGCTGGCGAGACACACAGCAGCTGCTGCTGAGATCTGCAGCAGAAGCAAATAGGGCACGGCAGCAGACGCTGTAAGAGTTGCTGCTGCTGCTGCTGCTAATGATGCTAATGTTGCTGCTGGCGTAGGTGGTGGTTGCGGGGAGGGTGGATTGGGCTGCCTGTCTCCTTTGCTGCTGCTGCTGCAGCAGCAGCAGCAGCAACTGCAAACCTTCATTTATATATATTGAGTAAACAGAAGAAGGCTTACGAACTCTCTTTATTTGCTGTCTACAAACTCAGACACACTTCGTTATCCTATCTTGCTAGAGAAGCTGTTGCTAGGGGGTTCAGCCGTAGCAGCAGCAGCAGCAGCAGCAGCAGCAACAGCAACAGCAGCAGCAACAGCAGCAACAGCTGCCCGCCGCCTTCTGTTGCCTGAGCAGCAGCGTGTATTTAGAAACGATTATTTGTTTAGCATTAAGAGAGCAACAAGCAGCAGAAGGAGCCCCTTAGAAGGAAGAGCAGGAGCAGCAGCAGCAGCAGCAGCAGCAGCAGCAGCTGTTGCTGCTGCTGAAGAGACACCGCGGACTCCAGCGTGTTAGGAGACAGCTCAAACTTAATCTTCTTCGCATTAACTTGCTTACCTCCTTAATTTAGTTTTATAGGGGTTTATATACACTCTAAATGCTGCTTATATATACCCTGCTGCTGCTTCCGTGCTGCTCTTCTGTCTTCGTTTGGCTCTCTCTTGCTGCTGCTGCTGCTGCTGCTGCTGCTGCTGCTGCTGCTGCGGGCAGCTTAAGGAGGCCTGTCTGTGCCTCTGTCTTCGTCTTAATCTTTTCTTTGCTGTAAATACAGGCTTGCAAGAGCAGCAACACAGCAGCAGCAGCAACGCTGCAGCAGCAGCAGCTGCTGCTTTTCTGAATGCTACAGGAGAGAGAGACAAGCACAAACCCTCGCCGGCTTTGCTCTGCTGCAGCAGCAGCAACAGCAGCAGCAGCAACAACAACAGCAGCATCAGCAGCAAATTGTCTTCTTCTTCCGATTATCTCTAGGCCTTCTGCCTCCTCTACGTCCCGCCCCCCAGCAGCAGCAGCAGCAGCAGCTGCAGCAGCAGCAGCAACAGCAACAGCAGCAACAGCAGCAGCAGCAGCAGCAGCTGTGGTGTCCGTGAGGATTCTCTATCAAACGCCCCGCTGTTGGCGGTGAAATCCGAAGGACTGATCCTTGGTGCTGCTGCTGCTGCTGCTGCTGCTGCTGCTGCCTCGACGAACTGCAACGCGGCGGAGACTCCAGCAATAGCGGCACCCGCAGCAGCAGCACCCGCAGCAGCAGCAGCAACAGCAACAGCAGCAGCAGCAGCAGGTACAGCGCCTGCATCACCCGTTCTTTCTATAGAAGCAGCAGGAGGAGCGGCAGCAGCAGCAGCAGGAGAGTCTGCTGCAGCGTCATCCTCAGCCGCAGCCCCAGCAACCCCAGCAGCAGCAGCAGCAGCAGCAGCAGCAGGGGGAGGAGGTGCGTGCTTGCAGTGGGATCGTTTATGCAGCAAAGGAGACTGTCTCCGCGCGCTGCAGCTGCTGCTGTCTGATATCCTTGGAGTGCTGACGCTGCTGCGGCCGACTGGGAGCACAGCGCTGCCTCGAGGCGTTGCTGCTGCTGTTCGGAAGACAAGAGATGCTGCTCTTGCTGCTCTAGGGTTTAAGGGGAGGCAGCAGACTGCTGCTCCTAACAGCAGCAGCAGCAGCAGCAGCAATATTGGCGAAGGGGACAGCAGCAGCGAGAAGGAGAACGAGAAAGTGGCTGCAGCACTTGCTGCAGCAGCAAGTGCAGCAGCAGCAGTAATAGAGCAGCATAACCCTCAGTTTGCATATCATCAGTTCAGAGTTTTATCTGCTTCTTCACTTGCTGCTCTCCTTCCTTATGTCTGCTGTCATTTAAAGGAGTTAATAGATGTGTTAGAAGAGCGAAAGCCTTTGCTGCGTCTGCTGCGCTCGCAGCAGGGACAAGGACTACCTGCAGCAGCAGCAGCAGCAGCAGCAGTTGCAGCGACGCCCGCTGCTGCTCCGGCTTCGGCTGCTGCGACTCAGGCTAACGCTACCACAGCTGCTGCTGCTTCTGCTGCTTCCGCTGCTTCTGCTGCTGCTGCTGCTGCTGCTGCGGGTGAGGGAGAGACAGACAATCTGCTGCTGCTGCTGCAGGTGTTTCTTGCGTACTGCCCTGCGTCTATGCTTGACTCTGTTTGTAATAAACTTGCTGCAGCATACGCACAGGCGCTGCTGCAGGGAGGGACGCAGCAGCAGCAGCAGCAGCAGCAGCAGGAAGGTGAACACGCTGCAGCAGCAGCAGCAGCAGCACACAAGACACTCAAAGCAGAACCTGCCTGCACTTCCGACAGCCTCGTGCCAGCAGCAGCAGCAGCAGCAGCAACAGTACCAGCTGCAGCACCAGCAGCAGCAGCAACAGCAGCAGCAGAACCTTTGGCTGTCTCTGTTGCTGCTTTATTAGGCCAGCGCAGCTTTCTGCAGCGCTTAGCAGGATGCGTCGATTGGAGACACTTTACGCTGCCCCCAGCAGCAACAACGGATGCTGCTGCTGCTGGCAGCAGCAGCAGCAACAGCAGCAGCTGCAGCAGCAGCAGCAGCATATGGGAACAGCGACAAACGCAGCCAGAAGCAGATGCTGCTGCTGCTGCTGCTGCAGTCCGCAGCGCCTTCAGCAGCGCCGCCTGTCTCTACGATGCTGAGGGTTTGCTGGTAGGTGGAGAGGGGCCCTCTGCTGCTGCTGCTGCTGCTGCTGCTGCTGCAGGGGATGGAAAGAGACAGGCGCAGCGGCTGCTGCTGCCTGCTGCTGTCCTCTGCCCCACAGACAGCACTACTGATGGGGAGACAGCGCAGGAGTTTGTATTCGAGCTGCAGCAGCAGCAACAGCAGCAGCAGCAGCAGCAGCAGCAGTTTAAGCTCTCTTGCCTCAGCGCCCTGCAGACGCAAGACCCAGAAGCAGCAGCAGCAGCAACAACAGCAGCAGCAGCAGCAGCAAAGAGCAGTATGGAAGGCAATGAGGATGCGTTTATATCTCCTACAGACGCAGGGACAGAGCTGCAAGATAGCAGCAGCAGCAGCAGCAACAGCAGCAGCATTCGCTTGTTGCGGGCTTTAGGCTCCTTAGAGCTGCCTTCGTTTCTGCTGCAGCAGCCCTCAGCTTATACTTTCAGCGAGTCTCCTCTTGGTGTTCGGAGCTGCAGCAGCAACAGCGAGGAGACAGGAGCGGAGACAGCAGCAGTAGCAGCAGCAGCAGCAGCAGCAGCAGACAGTGGCCGTGACGGGGCTTCAGAGAGCAGCCTGTCAGAAGGGCTGGGCTCTGCAACAGCAGCAGCGGCAGCAGCAGCAGCAGCAGCTGCTGCTGCTGCTACAGCTGCACCAAGAACTGCGTTTTGCCGCCCGTCGTGGCCGCTTCACTACAGCGATAGCAGCAGCAGCAGCAGCAACAGCAGCAGCAGCAGCAGCCAGGACGACTCTGCTGCAGGCTCTTTCTGAGGCCCCCGAAGAGTTTGGCGGTATATTTTCGCTAGCAAAAGGAGACAGTAGTTTGTGTGTCCCTGTGAAGAACGAGGCCCCAGCAGCAGCTGCTGCTGCTGGGGGCATTGCTGCTGCTGCTTCTAAAGACAAGCGGGTTGTGCTGCTGGAAGATATAGGGGGTGAGGAGACAGCTGCTGCTCAGAGCTCTGCTGCTGATGCTGCTTCTCGTAGGGCTACCCTTGTCTCCTTTCTTCTGTCTCTGCTGCCTGATAGCGGCAGCTATGCTGCGCTTGGAGGTGCTCCTGACTCGTCTCCTGCTGCAGCAGCAGCAAATGCTGCTGCTGCTTCACCCTTGCACGATGCAGCAGCAGCAGCAGCAGCAGATGAGGCCCCACTAGACAGCACACAGGCCCTTCTCAATAGTCTCCACGGCCACCTGCTGCGCTATGGCGCAGAGGAGACAGAGCACCGGCAGCAGCAGCAGCAGCAGCAGCAGCAGCAACAGCTGCTGCAGCAGCAGAAGCAGCAACACGAAGGAGGGAGACGCAGCAGAAGCGGGGGTGCGACCCATGGAAGCCGCACAGGGACAGGCCTCAGGGGGAGTGCTGCTGCTGCAGCAACAAAACAGGAGCTGCTGCCTCTCAGCGATGCAGCAGCAGCAGCAGCAGCAGCAGCAGCAGGTGGTGTACGGTCTTCAGAAGCAGAGCCTGCCGCTCGGAGTCGTTGGCGGCAGCAGCAGGTCTCCTTATCGCAACGTCA